AATTTCGCCTATTTACAAAAGAGTTTTATTTTCTTAAATTCATTATGAAACTTCGGATATTTTCAATGCCAAAATTTAATAGTATTTGTTTTCCTTTCCATGCGTCTTATTTTCTATCACATAAAATACATACATTAACATTTCGTACGCTCCAAGAACAAAGCACTGCACACTCAAAATCATGTCCAACAACTATAGAGTTTTCGGCTTCTCAATAAAAAAACACGTTATTTTTTTGCTATCGAAGCTTTCCAATTAAGGAAAATGAGAAGCCAAGAAAAATCAAAGTTATAGGTTTCTTACTCTTCAATTAAGGAAATTCTTCAATATTCAAAATAAAGATTAATACAAGTATAACAGAAGAAACTAAACTTAAAGAAAACTCAAAACTTTCAAGAATTGTTTTAAGCAGCATATTATTTACCTACTGCTAACATGTAGTTTTACATCAGCTCATTCACATGTGTTTTATTCGGGGAGAAGGAGCTGGATGTAGTCATTAAGATACTATTTACATATTTAATGTAAACAACACATTTTTAATAAATGTTTGCATTTTTAATAAATAATACATTTGTAATAAATGCATACATTTTTAATGAATGTGAACATTTTAAAAAATAGTACAATTTAGATAAATGCATACATTTTTAATAAATAATACAATTTTAATAAATGCAAATAATTAACATTAATGTAAATAGGTATACATTTTTGTACATTACAGTTTTAATAAATGTAACTAATGAATATTATGAAGGTACTAAAAGATTAGCTGTTTTAAGTCAGATACATTTCTTTAATATAAATATGGCATTCTGGAAATAGCTTACTAAATCTGGAACCGAAGAAACGCAGTAACAGAAGTCTTCTAAAATGCAGACGTTTTTTAATAGAATGTCTTAGAATTTACACTTTAAGAATAAATTGTAATCTTTGCAATAAACTTCTTTTATGCCTGCTCTTAAAATAAATTAGTATTTCCGTCTGATTTACCATCTTCTTTAAACTATAAAAGCAGCATCTTTAAAAATAAGCTTCGGTAATTTAAATCCATTAATTCCATGCAATATTTTATTTAAGGAATTAGGCTATTAAACTGTTTTGTGTCTAATGTAACGAAGTGCGAAATAGGATTGACTAATAAAAAGAAAGATATTTGTTTAAAAGTCTTAGAACAATAACTGATTCATTTAATTTTATATAGCTGGTACTATTTTCCATAATATTTTTGTGCGCAGTTAGTAAGTAAAATATTATGTGATGTTACTAGATCTTCTTCCGGTAATAATTACAGGGAACAGCTAAGTAATAACTAATACAGTTATCATTTTACATTTAAGGTGCGTAAGTGTCCCTACTATACGTTGATTTAGTGTTATATATGTACTTTTTGTAGAAATCATTAATCGTATTTATATTTCGAAGTATTTGCTTAATGGGCGTTGTGATCTTCGCGTTCGATTCTAACAGTTCAATCAATTGGATTTTGTTTTGTGCAGCATTATTTAAAATATGGCTAACTCGTGGCTGAAGGGATAAAGACGCCAAATACAGATAGTTCCCCCTACAGAAGAAAGGGCTCCTTTACGTTTTTGTGTTTTACCTCAAGCATTACGTAAATATGGCCCATTTTCTCTTAGACAGTCTTCCGAGAAGAAATTCTTTCTCACTGGCTAGGAACTGTAATGTTCTATGCTATTATAAAGTAACCGAATCTAATCCAATTTAATTAAAAGTTTGTTTTCATACAGCACATACACACATGCAAAAAAAGAATATGCTAGTTGTCTAAAAACTGTCTGATTCAGCCTGATGTAGGAATTTGAATTTCTCAAGCGAAAGAAATATTAAATATGAGAATAATAAAGCTCAACTCTAACACAGAAAATCTGAAAATGCGAGGTGTCCGGTAAAGAAATGGTGAAAAAAATGACGAAATAAATGGGTTTATTGCATTGTGGTTTACATAGCTGGAAAGAAAAACTCAAAAGGTTTTTGTTCGCCAGAAGTTCCACCAGCGGCCGAGCGGTAAAATCGCTGAACACTGCTACTTCGGCCTGATGTTCGAATCCTGCAAACGGGCTGGCTGCATGGGCGTTTTCGTTGTTTTCCACACGTATAACGTATATAAGAGCCAGTTTATCTTAGAAAGTCCTCCACGAAGGTATCCTTCCCCTTAGGAAGATAAGCTTTGAGCGCTTTGCCATAATCAAATAAACCAAACTAATTGTTCGGCAGAAAGACTGGCGCAAAGTACACTATACCACTTTAGATTTGGGGGTCGGCATTACAAAAAAAAAAAAAAAAAAAAAAAAAATATCCAAATTACGGAAAGTGTTAGGTAACATTGGTTATGTTTTCGAACACACGGAATGAGCTTGAACATCTCTTAAATATAACTCGAGCTAAAAACTGCGTTCAGATAGAAGTGTACTAGAATTTTTACCCTGTGTGGTAAGTTTCCTAAATATGAGACGCCCACCAGCGGCCGAGCGGTAAAGTCGCTGAACACTGGTAGTTCGGTCCGAGGTTCGAATCCCGCGAACGGGCTGGCTGCATGGGTGTTTTCGTGGTTTTCCCCATGTGTAACGTGTATACGAGCCAGTTTCCCTTAGAAAGTCCTCCACGAAAGGCATCCCTCCCCTTAGGCAGATAGCCCTAGTGTGCTTTGCCATAATTAAATTAAATTAAATACACCACCTAAATATGAGACAAAATGCGCATAAAAGAGATGGACGTCCGTATAGGGAAAGAAAACCTCCTTTCCATAAAGCAAACAAGAATAAGTGATAGTTAAGTTAGTCGATGGTTAAGAAAAAAGGTAGTAAAAATAAAGCATATATACTTCCTCAATATTCGTTAATCTAATAGCTCGAACATTCGATATGAAGCCAGAAATTTAATATATGCCCAACGTTACTTTGCTTTACTAACTAATTTTTAAGTTTACATCCTTTCCTACTTTTACGTTATTAATTATTTGTGAAAATGTCACCTAAAGCATTCTTTCTTCAGACGAGAACAACTGATGAAGACACATTGATCTGAAAACGAATGCCTACACAAAATGTATACTTATTACGTCACTTCATAAGGAGAAATCCGTTTCAATTATTACGCTTCAAAAATAAAGTGTACTAAATCTCAAACCATTCTGTTAAAAAAAATGAAAATACAGAACAGACATCATTTCTCTCCAACAGCATACGCGTGAATTCATTATTTTACCATCGTTCCATATAACAGTAGAGCCCGTTTAAATTAAAAACATACTAGTCTTAAAAAATATTTATTTTACGTGCTGCTTCTCAGTCTGCTGTCTTCCTTTTAAAACTTAACTTTCGAAGTTTAAAATTTATAACTTTAATATTCCCAAAAAATATTTTAAAGGGATTATGATATTAAGCATCGGATTGGCATCTATTGGTTTTAGACCTAATTATTTTTTTGAGTTTTGAATTTCAATGTACATAAAGTAAAGTTCTATGGTTTTTAACTGTCATTTTGGCAAAATGTATGTTTCGTATATTGGTTTTAGACCAATTTGTTTTTTTGAGTTTTTTTTAAATTCTAATGTACATAATGTAAAATTCTGATGTACATAATGTAAAGTTCTATGGTTTTTAACTGTCATTTTGGCACTATGTATGCTTATGCTTTTTTTCCAAGTGTTTCGAAAATGTGTAGGGAAAATTCTGGTACATTTGAGATTCGAGGTTTCGTTTTTATATGAATTTTAAAGTCTTTAATAAAAATTTGATGAAGCTTTTTTACGGTTTTTGATCTCAAATGGAACAGGAGAACGAAACATATTAATCGACTTTTATGAATTTTTAATTAATTTTTCCCTCATGAGTTCTGAATTGGCATTTCAATAAAGGGAGATTAATTTTTTATTTGTATAATTTTGTATACTTTCCCTTTCGCATTTTTTTTCGAGATTGTTCTACTATGAATTCCCTCTTTTTCCGATCAATAGCGATAACTATTTGTTTTTTACTTTCTTTTTCATAGTTTGAAATTTTGTTAATCATGATTTAAATTCAAGTCCCCTTAAAAAGTTTCATGATTTACTTTCAAGTTCCTCTAAAACAAACACAATTTTCGGATTTAAACTTTCTACACATGGGTTACCTCTTTTTGATACATTCTATTAAATTTACATTAGGAGATAATATATTCAATATTTCATTAATAAATAAATGACCTTACTTTGCAGCTATTGCGCAAGTATTAGAAAAACTTGTTCTCGAATTCAATGAATTTTAGATTTATCTATCTATATATATATATATATGTTGTATGATCTTAAAATTCACTTATATATCGCTCACAACATACGCAGATACCGTAAGAGATTCTTGAGAAGATAATGAGTTTTAGATGGGGTGATACTGATTCGTGCAGCTTGCATTTAATTTTAGAATGCGTTATAACTCAAGCTAGCAGAAACAGTTATAGCAAGCTAATTTATCTTTCATCATAGAGATTAACTCATAAAGGGGGGTTAGTAATATGTAATCGAAAATAATTTACATATCGAACATACTTAACACGTTCTTAGTCGCTGTGAAACGACGTATATTGCGATTAATTTTGTGCTAATAAGGATTAAGACAATCTTCACTGAAACGTAAAGTTCGTGAAGTGTATAATTTCACGCAAGCGGACCACGGTGGAAAGTTTTTATTATTATTATTATTCTTTCTTCGTGCTCTCGGGAAATGTGTGAGTGGGAAGGGAGCATAAACGTGTAATCTGCTGCGGTACCTTTATTGCTGCAAAACGGCGAAGCACGCAGATGGAATTAATTATTTCTCAGAAAACGAAGTGTGACCGATACGTATTTATTTGTATGTGCTTTTGTATATGAAGGAATAACGAAAGGAAAAGGCACCAAGCGATAGAGAAAAATCGCCAAAAAGGAGCGAAACAGGGTTGCTATCTCCGTCTTTGGATGGCAGGCTATTGGCGGAAAGAACGTCAGATTTGGGTGGGCCACGACAGTAGGTGGCCGCGGCGAAACGTTTTGGTGTTTGGAATAATAAGGAACGTGTGCTTGGACGACGAGGCAGCACTTTTAATCCGCGTATGTGACGAGTTATGGTGAATGATGCTTATTTTGATGACTTGTTAAAAGGCTGAACTCGTCGACTTTGTCATGCGGGACAAATCTCGCGCGCTTTTCTATTACTGGATTAGATTTGAAGTCAAATATCGGAAGTTAGTCTGTTACTGCAAAATGTAAGTTTATTTATTTATTTTTTTATTTCTGTCAATGGTGTTTTGTTGAACATTTTTGTATTTTACATACATTAAATAACTTGGTTTGCAGATCATCAGTTTGATTTCATGATATGTATGAACAAGTTTTTCAAGTGTATGAACATTTTAAATAGAGGATGTGTATTTATTTATTTATTTTTAAGATGTACTTTATATACACTTAAATATTTTTCTACTTGAGATATTTGAATAAGCGACCTTCTAGTTACTATGATGAATAATAAACACTTCTTATAGTATGCTGAGTAATTCAGTAATATCTTGCACCATTGCAGTTTAATTCAGTTTCCTTTGGATATTTGAAATCGTATTAAAATTTTCTTAAAACACATATATGAATTAAAAAAAAATAGATAATAGACTAGTAACTTACCAAGAAGCTGCTGTTAATAATTATTTCCTCTTTTCGTAAGACGTTAAAAAATGTAAGTGTACCTTTGTTTATGAATGTCTGTTTATTTTTACGCTTTAACTAACTATTCATTTTTTAAGAAAATCTGAAAACTTCTAGGCGAAATATACGAAACAGACTGGAACTTCAGCTTTAGATGATTTTTGTCCTAAAACAATTTAATATCGATGACTAAGTTATTATAATTACAATGTGTATTAAAATATACATTAAAAATACAAAAATTTTCTGGTCTTATGTACTTAAAATTTTGCCGATTTTGAGATGTTTGTAAAGGTTCGTGTTAGAATTTATCTAGGGAATTCTCGAAATATAGATTTCTAATGAGGAAATTAAATATCACACAAACAAAAAAAAAATATATATATATATGTTAATATGCATGAATTACTGAAATTTTTATGTCGCTGTATTTTTTACACCTCTCTTTTTTTTTTAACTGCAATTTCCTGTATTTAGAATATTGTGTAAAAGTAGTGTTTTTTATCTATTTGAAAATAAAAGTAACTGGAATTATAAGTTATTAAAATGTATATTTAATCCTTTAACTTTTTGATATTTTAATCTACATCTTACAAAACTTTTTTACGTGTAAGGTTCAAATAGATTGCGTAGTTAAATAAATATTAGAGTAATAATAATAAAAAAAGGAAGCTTATTTTTATTTTTATATTTCGATAAAAGAACTCTGGTTTTTTTATGAAATCGCTTTTTTTTTTTTTTTTTTTTTTTTTTGTTTTTTTTTTTTTTTTTTTTTTTTTTTTTTTTTTTTTTTTTTTTTTTTTTTTTTTTTTTTTTCTTTTTTTTTTTTTTTTTTTTTTTTTTTTTTTTTTTTTTTTTTTTTTTTTTTTTTTTCCCTTGGAACCTGCTGTTTTAGCATACTTCAACTAATATTCCACTGAAAATACTATTTATTTGTTTTTCTATTTATTAAATGCTTTTTCCCTCTACTTCTAAAAGAATAAAGGGAAACTTAAACCATAACAGGAAGAAAAATTTTGTATATATGGGGAGTCGTGCTTTAGAATTCCTTTTTCCTTTTTTGAAGTGTATTATACTCATCGTAGTTAAAATCACCATTAATTTCTTTGCTGAAGATTATATCGTTAATTACATATATTACGTTTCTAGAATTGAATTTTTGAGAGTTTTAGTCAATTATAAGATATGCTACTACACAAGAAGTAGTTTTATGTAAAAATAATGTGTTAATGTGATAACACCTAACCACCTCTCTGTATCTGATGCATAGATCGGCATAGTAAACATAGTAAACTGACTACTTCGGGGGATTCCAATAACTGGGAATACCCATACAAAGGAAATATACGAAGTAGAAAAAGCTTTAATAATATGTAGAAGTGTCCAGTTTACTGTAATTTAGTCACATAAGCATTCGTTTCTTTGCTTAAGATTTCTTTTCATACTATATTATTAATGGCATATATTATGCTACTAGACCTTTATTTATGAGAGTTTTTATTGCTAGAGCTGCCACTTATAAAATTTGCTGCGACATAAGAACATATGTAAAATTAATAATGCGTTGATGCACCTAACATTTTAAGGGCATTTCTCTAATTGATGCATAGACTATATGTAACAAAGTGACTATTTTCCTGGATTCCAGTAACTGCGAATACTAGTACAAGAAAAAACAGTAACATCCACGTTACTGTAAACGAGTCATCTGTTTGTTTTTCATAAGAGAGTTTCCGGAAGATGTCTGCAATCACATCGAAGTATTGTCAATTTATTAGCCAACAAACATGACAAATTCCCCTAGATTTTTTAAAAATAATATTTTGAATTTACCAAGTAGCAGTTTTGCACAGATTATCTTTAATTATATATTGTTGTGTTAATGCAGATGATATTAAAAGAACTGTAACGTTGTTTCAGTAATGTTACTAATGCTGTAAAATAATATTTACTATTCATTAGCTAAAGCAAGTTCCATATAATGCAATCAAAAATAAAATAAATATAGCTCCAAAAAACATTTTCCTTAAATTTTATTAATTACTGTGACTATATATATATTCGAAACTTTGGATGCCCCTTAAAATGCATTTTCATACATTCTTTTCACCATAATGCAGATCCTAGAATTTTGAATCTTCCGTTAAATAAATGTATAAATTGAAAAGTCCTTAAACAAACAAGCTTCATCTTTATGTGCACCAAACGGGAAAACGCTCATTAAATTCAGCTTGTTCGCTAACGCAGCGAGGAATATATCGCTTGACCCCTAGGGCTGATTGGTGATTAGAGTCCCCTGTCATTAGTGATATCAGACCTAATAAGGGAAAAATAGGACTACTGGTGAAACTTTGTCGTTCGCTGTAATCAGAAATTTTATCTGTAATTTAATCCTAGATTAAAATCGCATAAAATGCGCCTGGTTTCAGAGTTTTAAGCTTTCAAAACAAACACTAAGATATGCGGCAGGGAATATTTCCTTATTATGATGATGGCATGTAGAAATCCTTTCCAAGTAGCAGCATTAAGTATACAACCGACAACCTTTAAGCAATCGACATTTAACTGGATAATTAAAATTAGATTAAATTAATATTCTATTTTCAAGGATAAATTCAAGAAATAAGCTTTGTTGTGTGGTTTATATTCAAAATTCAGATATTTTCTGACTTATCAAAAGTGTTTGAAATGAAACTCTTCTCCATTTTTGAATATGTCCGAGAAACTCAAAAATTGACTTTCAAGCTTTGATATACAGCTGATTTAAAGATAAAGAAACTTTTAACTGCCACCTGTTTGTAGTTTAAACAATAGAATTAAGTGATAAGGCTAATTATAAAGTAGAGTTAGTGCATTCTCTGAAAAGGAGTCCCTTTTTGCGTTGTCTCTACAATAAGTATATTAATCATGTCAGAAATGTATAAAACATGCTTATTACAGTTTTGTATTATAATCCAAGTTGTTTAATTAAATGAAATAGTTTTTGTAAGGAAAATTATTTCAGAAGCACATTTATATGCATCTTTAAAAGAATATGAACAAATTTGGCTTGGCGTATGTATTTCACTACAGAGGCTCAGTGTTTTTCAAAAAGTATCAAACGATGAGAAAAACATCATGTTTGCCTCTCGACATTTAACTGGTCTTTGTTTAAAACTAATAAAAATTGAAGCAGAATTTTGCATATTTTAAATTTAGTTCCGTCTATTTTTATGTTAATCCTTCTTTAATGGTAAGCATAGTTCAGTATGTCTATCGCTTCGAACCTGTCGTGTTGTCTGTAAGCCATGTCCCCAAAATTTATACAATGAAAATTATATTATTATTATAGGCTTTATAATATGAATATAATACAAACAGCAGTTGTTTTCAAAGACGCGTTTTTGAAAAAAATAAGCGTTGTGAATGTTCAGAATTCTTGTAGTTTAATATTTCAATGTGATGTGGCTTAGACGAATGATTCTTAGCAGAATCATTTAGCACATACTTCAATGCTTATATTACTTCAATGCTTCATTAGATTGAACATGAAATAAAATAGCTGGAGAGAAGAAACAATGACATATGAAAACGACATCTTATTGTTCATTTGCCCACCAGCGGCCGAGCGGTAAAGTCGCTGAACACTGGTAGTTCGGTCCGAGGTTCGAATCCCGCGAACGGGCTGGCTGCGTGGGTGTTTTCGTGGTTTCCCCATGTTTAACGTGTATACGAGCCAGTTTCCCTTAGAAAGTTCTCCACGGAGGCATCCCTCCCCTTAGGCAGAGAGCCCTAGTGTGCTTTGCCATAATTAAATACACACTTATTGTTTATTTGAGGATTATCTGTTAAAGAGTAGGGCTGCCTTCGTGGAGAACTTTCTAAAGAAAATGATCTGATATTTACATTACACTTGAGAAGGTACGTAAACATAACGTATTTAAATCATACCTGAATTTACGTAACTGAGGAAAATGCCCACTCTGTTCGCCGGTATTAAATCCCGGATTAAATAACTACCAGTTTCTAGCGGTCTTTACTTGGTCACTGAGGATGACATCTTAAATGACATTTATCTTGTCAGTGAATGAAGTTTAATTCTCAACCAGGCTACCATTATTTAAAGAAATAGAAGTTAAAATATTTTGCCAGGAAGGAAAATACTCTGAGTTAAGAGAATGCCTTCTGCTCTTTTAATCCTTTTCTTTGGAAAGAAACCGGCGAAAAGTAATTTAAGAAGTCATTTCTCTTATAATACCACCCCAGCGATCAGCATTTTCATTAATATGTCAAATTGCTATCATTCATGTCATTCGTTCGAAGCACACGTGGCCTTATTCGCAGAATTCAAAGAATGTTGATCCACCGGAAACTGTTAGCCTACATAGTGAAAGTTACACACTGGAAAGCCGGACAAAAGACTTGCTCTGAGGAACTACCTCTGTGAAAAGAAGAGGAAGTTCGAAGGACAATGAGCAAATAAAACGTCGTTTTATGACAGATAGTATAATACAAAGGCAGCTTAGGGCGTTAGCGGAATTGGTGGCTCCATTTAGCATATTGTAGACATTCTCTCTCTTTCACT